GTGCTGTGGATTTAATAAGATCTCGCCTAAACGGCCCTGCCTGTAGTGCTGTGGGTTCAAGTGTCGTGCATGCTTCTGTGTTCTCTCTGTAACTCGATTCTCTTCTTTAATCTTCTCTGCTTTGCGTATGTGCATGCGCATCCTTTTCTGTCTCTAGACATACTACATCTTCTGCTCAACCCGTTTAGTCTTCTTCAGGAATTATCCACTTTACCAGAACCTGCCGGGCGCCGCCATTCTACCGTTTACTTCCATTGACCCTTCAGATTCTGGTCAATATGCCTTGGGACAGCAAATTGAGTTCGGTATTCGGTGAAGCTTGATGTGTTACGTTACATTCAACAGATTGAACGAGGTAAGCTCTGTAATCTTTTCTTTAACACTAAATGTTATTTGCATTAAAATGGTCAAATAATGTCTTTAGGTTTGAAATTTTTATATCGGCGTTTAGGGTTTAAAATTGATCCTGGAATTTTTTCATGGACGGATAATACAGTGCCTTTCTGTTTCAAAGGGTTGATTTTTGGGATAATGGTGTCAAAGTTTTGCATGAACGAGTACTGTCGCTCAACGACGTCGTTTGAATGGAAACAAGGTTGGGGCTTGAAATCAGGTGGATTTGCTGCGCTCTGTTACAACTGCGGGTAATCTGTGCGACCCTGTATTTTAGTCAAGTGTAGTTCAGGACTGGGGAGTTTAAACCTCTGAATTAGCTCATTGCTGAGGTGTCCGTTTTGAATGTTTGAATTTTGAATTTGATGTTGATTTTTTTTCCTGTTCTTGGGTTTTTCTGCTGTTGCACATTGTTAGAAGTTTACATTTCTCCCCCACCTTCACGGCCTCCACCAACAACGATTTTTCTTCTTTTTTGCTTCTACCTCAAAACAAAAAGCAGGCTCCTTCATTGTGTACTAGTTAGGATATGTGGGCAAAAGTTAAAAGGCATAGCTTTTATATAGTCTATAGAAAGTGTTAATAAGTCTAACTAATAAGATCATCTTGACCTTCTCTTACTCCTAATACTTGTGTACTGTGCTTTCACTTTTCATTCACTTACCTTCGTCTCAATAAGATGATTATCATTCAGGAAGTAAACAGAGTATGTTTCTTCAAAAAACAAAATTGCTTTCGGTATAACTGCCACTCTTTTCTCAACTGTTTTTTGTACTTATACTCTGATATTTTTTGCTAAGTGGATTTTCTCAAAATTTAGGTGTTGTATAAATTATTGCTATATTGCCAACTTAAAAAGTAATATGTGGGGGAGAGGCAATCAATTTTGATTAAAGATTTCTTGGGATGATTTGACTCAAGGAATTGCTAACTGATAAACCATTAAAATTTCACATCATATGTTTTTCATGCAAAGTGTGGATCTAAAAATGTATGCCTAATTTGCCACTATGTTTTCTTCACTATTTGTCTCTGAATATCCCATTCATGCTCCTGCTGACCTGCCCAAAGGCTAGGCATTAGGAACTAGGCCCAAGTGAACTACCTACCTAGTGTCTTATACTTTTTAGAAAATTGTTGTGGTTATCATTACATATGAGTATATGACTTATATTTAACTTTTGAGGTTTGCTTTTGTTAAAAATCAATACTCCATCTGTCCCCATATTTGATATTCCCATTTCCCTTTGATTCCATTTCCAAATTGTCTTCCTACTTTTTTAAGAAATGAATTGAATGGTTGGTATAGAGTGGGGGGAAAGTATTTATGATGTTACAACTTACACTATTATGAGGGGTTGATTGGAATAAGTTTAATTAGAATTTATCAGGGAAGAAATTATAACTGTCAAAAATTCCCTTTGTAAAGTGAATGGCTTTGTGTGTCCAACTGTCCCAGATGAAGGAATGAATGTGGAAGAAGAGCTAGGCACGGAACATTTATTAGCGAGGGAAGGAATTGAAATTCTTTCAGAATAGATCCTTGATAGGGATTCCACCTGCCGAAGAGTAATCCGAACCACAGATATGGCAGAAACGAAGATGAACAGTAATAGGGAGGTCGTTTATTAACAAACAAGAGAGAGAATAGGTCTGACAGATAACCAACAAGTCCCAGCCCAAAATAACCAAAAACCAGCCTTACCCTTATTACAGCATTTTAGTATTTATAGTACTTCCCCCGCAATACCAAGCTATTAATTATTCCCCTTTTTCCTCCTTGAGTAAACACGGTCATAATAGTCAACGCTATTGTTAGTAATGGGCTGGCCTCCCGTGTCTCTATCATCACCTCCCCCTGAAACTACCACCTTGTCCCCAAGGTGGAAATCAGGAAATTGCTTTTGCAACTGCTGCAGTTCCTCCCAAGAATCTTCAAATTCTGGCATGTCCTCCCAATGCACCAACACCTCAGTTCTTCCGGCAGCATTGATCCTGCTATCCTTCACGTGTTCAGGCTTCACCTGTAGCTCCCATTCTTCTGTTAAGCACTTGGGTAGGGGTTGGATTGGAGCTGCAGTAGGTACTGCTTTCTTCAGTAGAGACAAATGGAAGACCGGATGCACCTTACAGTCCTCAGGTAGTTTCAATTTGTAAGATACAGAATTGATTTGTTCAATGACTTCAAAGGGTCCATAAAACCTCGGACTCAGCTTCTGATTCATTCTCCTGGCCAAAGTTTTGAGTTTATAAGGTTGTATTTTCAAATACACCCAGTCTCTTACCACAAGCTGAACTTCCCTTCTTTTCTTATCAGCTTGTTGTTTCATTTGATTTTGTGCAATGTTCAAATTATTCTTCAACTCTTCCAACATTTCATTTCTTTCAGCTGTCAGCCTATTTACCTCTTCCACTGCTGCTAGAGTGACATCGCCCCTAATCAATACAGGTGGATCCTGTCCATACAATGCTTTATAAGGACTATTCTTAGTAGACACATGATAATTTGTGTTATACCAGAATTCTGCCCACGGTAACCACTTAGGCCATTGCTTGGGTTTCTTTCCTGTCATGCACCGGAGGTAAGTTTCTACACATTTGTTCACCACTTCTGTTTGCCCATCTGTTTGGGGATGGTATGATGTGCTGTATTTCAATTTAGTCCCCGCTAAATTGAATAATTCAGTCCAGAAAGCGCTTAGGAACACCTTGTCTCTGTCTGATACTATAGTCTTGGGAAACCCATGTAGCCTGACAATCTCCTGAACGAACAGTTCTGCCACGCTTTTAGCATTATAGGGATGTGATAATGCTATGAAGTGTGCGAATTTTGTCAGTCTGTCCACCACCACTAAAATGGTGTCCTTCCCTTGAGCTTTAGGCAAACCACCAATGAAATCCATGCTCAAGTCAGTCCAAATCTGGCTGGGAATTGGTAAGGGTTGTAGTAATCCTGCTGGGCTCAAAGTCTGATATTTATTCCTCTGGCAAACATCACACTGCTGCACATACTGCTTAATATCTGCCCTCATTCCCTCCCAATAGAAGAGGGTAGATATCCTCTTTATGGTCTTGAAGTTTCCAGCATGCCCCCCTATTGCAGACTCATGAAATTCTTTGAGGATAGCATTAATCCTTTCAGAATTCCTAGGAATCACTAATCTGCCCTTGAAATACAGAAGCCCTTGCCTGATCTTGAAATTCGGGATAGAGTCTGGTTCTGCCCATAGTTTCTGCAACATAGTTTTGTATTTTTCTTCCTCCAATAGTTCATTTTCTAGTCCTTCCCACTCTTGGCAGGTAACCACAGACAAGGCATAGAAATAACCCTTCCTTGATAAGGCATCTGCAGCCTTGTTTTCCACCCCGGGCTTGTATTTGATCACAAAGTTGTACCCCAGTAGTTTTGTCACCCATTTTTGCTGATCTTCTCCTAAAATCCTTTGTTCTGTCAAGAATCTCAGACTCTTTTGATCTGTATGTACTTCGAACCTTCTTCCTAGCAGGTAGGGCCTCCACTTCTGAATAGCTAGTACAATAGCCATAAGCTCTCTCTCATATACAGATTTGTTTTGATTCCTGTTGGATAATGTTTTACTCATATATGCCACAGGTCTGCCCTCCTGCATAAGCACAGCTCCTACTCCCTTTCCTGAAGCATCGGACTCTATCACAAAGGTTTGATTAAAGTCAGGTATCGATCACAAATCTCGCGGACGATCAACAGCCTCCACCGCGAGTAAGCGGGAGAGTAGTAGCGACTCCAGAACCTCTTCAGGTAAACATCGCTCAATATCTTCTAAACGACAGGGTGATTTCAGTAGATGGATTGAGAAATCTGGAAGGAAAGTGGATTTGCCGCTTTTTAATGGTACTGATGCGTATGGATGGACTGTAAAAGTAGAACGATTTTTTAAGTTGAATCGTATTGATGAAGAAGATAAAATTGAGTTGGTTACTTTAGCAATGGAAGGCAGGGCTTTAAATTGGTACCAATGGTGGGAGGAACATGCTAATGTAAGGAATTGGGAATTGTTTAAGGATGCTTTATTGCAGAGATTTGAACCTGGACTGGAACAGGATCCCTATGGTCCCTTGCTGAGTGTTAAGCAAACAGGGAGTGTAATGGAGTACAGAGATGAGTTTGAACTTGTGGCAGCTCCTTTGAAAAACACTGATGTCCAAATGCTCAAAGGTATTTTTATGAAAGGGTTGAAAGCTGAAGTAAGGGCTGAATTGAAGCTGAATCCGGTTCGAACTTTGGCAGAAGTAATGAATAAGGCTTCGAGGGTAGAAGAAAGAAACCTCACGCTGAATACAATCAGGAATAAGGATGATGAAAGAAGGGGGAAAAAGGGGAATAATTAATAGCTTGGTATTGCGGGGGAAGTACTATAAATACTAAAATGCTGTAATAAGGGTAAGGCTGGTTTTTGGTTATTTTGGGCTGGGACTTGTTGGTTATCTGTCAGACCTATTCTCTCTCTTGTTTGTTAATAAACGACCTCCCTATTACTGTTCATCTTCGTTTCCGCCATATCTGTGGTTCGGATTACTCTTCGGCAGGTGGAATCCCTATCATTGGTATCAGAGCAACGATCGTGAGACCTGTATATGGTTGCTACCAGACGAACGATGGAAGGAAGGATGGAGAATGTTGAACGCGAGTTGGCGAGACAGTCCGAGATCATGGAGCGTGAATTGGAGAGGCATCGAGAAGAGGCCAGGATCAGGAGCGATGAGGTTAGACGCAGTCTCGATGAGTTTCGCGAGATGATAATGAAAAAGCTCTGATACCAATGATAGGGATTCCACCTGCCGAAGAGTAATCCGAACCACAGATATGGCAGAAACGAAGATGAACAGTAATAGGGAGGTCGTTTATTAACAAACAAGAGAGAGAATAGGTCTGACAGATAACCAACAAGTCCCAGCCCAAAATAACCAAAAACCAGCCTTACCCTTATTACAGCATTTTAGTATTTATAGTACTTCCCCCGCAATACCAAGCTATTAATTATTCCCCTTTTTCCTCCTTGAGTAAACACGGTCATAATAGTCAACGCTATTGTTAGTAATGGGCTGGCCTCCCGTGTCTCTATCAATCCTCTAGTGTACCAAACATCGGAATTTTAGCATTATGCATTTATACCACCAACCCTCCTTTACTAATTTGATTTCCATCATACCTCAAAGGCTAAATTCCAAAGGCAAGGAAATAAGGAATCGGTATTCATTAGGGAAAAGAAGGCTTAACATTCTGTGAGTATATTAGCCCCAAAGTCTGTTTATAATTTAAAAATAGGCTTTTTTCATTTCCTCATGCATTATTGTGCTGCAGTTAACCCACCTGCATTATTTATGCATTTATACCACCAACCCTCCTTTACTAATTTGATTTCCATCATACCTCAAAGGCTAAATTCCAAAGGCAAGGAAATAAGGAATCGGTATTCATTAGGGAAAAGAAGGCTTAACATTCTGTGAGTATATTAGCCCCAAAGTCTGTTTATAATTTAAAAATAGGCTTTTTTCATTTCCTCATGCATTATTGTGCTGCAGTTAACCCACCTTCGTTAAAATTTTCAACTTATAGTTCTTTCTAATGTTTTTTATATTACATATAATGTGGGTGCCACATCTTGCCATGTTTAATAGGGCCTCCAAAATCAAGTAGCTAACCCCGCTCCTCTTGTACAAAACATACTACTAGACTTCTAGAAGTACTAATATTGCTGGCTAATTGTGATCTTATTGTTCTTTAACTTCTGTGTCTAATTCATGAATTCTGGTTGTGTTATGGATGGGAGTTAGATCTGCATATGAAAAGGTAGCTTTTTGCGAGACATTCCACTTGGATGAATCTGGCTGGAGGGAATGCAGAATGTGTAGAAAGGCAAGTATGACTAACGATGGATAAGTACTGCACAATTTCATTCTCCTTTTGCTTCCTCTAACTGGATATCACACATGGCAGCGTATTCACTGTGGGTGCATCATGTCAAAATATCTGTTTGAATACATGGACTTTGGAGGCATTGGGTGTTTGAGCTGTACAAGGTGCTTGGGAGGTCACACTATATTTCCAGTACAGGTAAATATGTTGCAATGATGGTTTTGACTTCTGAGCAGTGTTTAAATGCATAAAAAAGTATTAATGAACTTATGCAGTAGTGAGATCCAGGCGAAAGGGGCAGAAGGATAAAACTTACTCTAATGTATGTTTAAAAACCCAACAAAGCATGTTATTGCAATGGTTAATGGTTATGCTGGGACTAGCACTGTAAGGGCATCTCCAATAAAAACCCCAAAAATCAGGTTTTCACTTGTTCTATGTGCCACATCACTACCACATAATCAATCACGCATCACGTAAAAACCTTACTCGTTTTATGGACCCTTCTCCACACGCCATAAACTCTCCATTTTTTTTTATCTAGGAGCAAACCTTTCTTCTTTCTTACCAAAACGTTTTTATGGATCCTCCATCAGTTCATAACCGTAATCTTATCATTTATTAGTTATTACTCTTTATATGTGCAATATTAGTATCGAAATAAATATCATGAAAAGGGGATTAGTTTGATACATCTGTGTTAAAACATTATATGTACATACAAGAATACATGTGAATATGTGATAAATTTTTGCAGAAAGATATTTTTTTTGCTCCAAATAGGTTTTGCATAATGCCACATAGGTATCCCATTTTTATCCACAAGGTTGCTAAATATTGTGTTTTGGAAAGCATAAAGAGGATAGTAACTACAGCAACTACATTACCCTAGTGCCGCAAAGGCTCCCACCTACGGTGGTGTAAGGAGGGTCGGATGTACGCAGCCTTACCCCTGTATTAAAGCACAGAGAGACTGTTTCCGGATGACCCATGATGAAAATCGCGTCGAAAATTGCAAGGACCGATTGTTGTTTCATAACAAAGAATCGCGGACGGTTTAGTGAGTCATTTTGTTTTATTCCATCATATTCCCAAAAAAAAAAAATAGTGAGTTTTTGGCTCCATCGGAAATTGTTTTATCCTCATAAAGAGGATTGCAACTGACAGGATAAAAATTGCCTAAGAAACGAGTTATAAAAATTGGGTGTTATGTCTCATGTTGTGTTTATGGAACTATGGAAGCAAAGAAAAAGCTAGTTGCGAGCTTTTTTGCATTCATAAAGTTGCATGACAACAAGAAACATAAAACTGTGCTTAGAGTATCGTATCTTAACACATGCCATCTAAGAACTAGATTTTACATATAACCAACATTCTTTTTTTTTGAATTGATCATATGATAACTGTTTGTACAGATACCTAATGAGGATCCTCCTAGTGGTATATTCACCATGAAGAACAGTGCAGATACACATACTCTTCTTGTTGAAAATAGAACGGATCAAACCATTTTTGAAAACGGAAGGCTTCTGCAATTTGGAAACAGTACAGAGGAATCTGAAAATGACAAAATTAAACAAGAGCAATCAATAATTCCTGCCATGGATGCCAGCAGGTTGTGCTTTTCAAACCTTAACCAGCAATCTCCCAAAACTTCTTTACTTGAAAAGGCAGAAAGTTGCATACCGAATACGACACTTAAGGATCAGCTATCTCTAAATTTCTTTTTGACCACACCCATGGGCAATTCAGGCTCTGTACTACCCATTTCTTCTGGGGTTTCTCCATTCCAACAAGGGCAGACAGCACACAATATCTTTCCAAAGGCACCTAAAGCTAGCTCAAGTTCGGGGTTTGAATCAAAATGTGGAATATCTACACTGACAGGTGTTGCAAGGCCATCGTCTGAAGGGAGGAGCAGTAAGAATCAGTTCCTGCCTAGATATTGGCCCAGGATTACAGACCAAGAACTGCAGAAACTATCTGGAGAGTATCCATCCATTATGTATTAATTATCATGTATCAATTCATGCTAGCCAACCCCAAAATCTTTTGGGACCAAGGCTTGGTTGTGGTTGTTGTTGTTGTTGTTGAGGGGTGGGATTACCTGACTAAAAGCCACAAACCGACCTGCACTGAACCGAAATTTCAAGTAAATCAGTTTAATTGTTGTTCTGGGCAGTCTAGATTTAGTATTCGTCCTGAACCCGACCAGATTTTAAAATGCAAAACCCCAGACCAGCTAGCCTTCTTTCATTCCTACAATAATATAATCCGGTATGTAGTCCCAACAAAAAACTGACCCATCCCGCCCCGGTTCCACCACTAATCATTCTTGGATTAAGTCCTTCTTCCATTTAAGCAGTCCACTTTGTTATACCTTTACTTTTTCACTTTAAGCTTGAAATCCAGTATAGTGCCTTTGTTCGAAAAGGTTCTGAGTGCCAGTGATGCTGGTCGGATTGGTCGTTTGGTCATCCCCAAAGCATGTGCTGAAGTATGTTTTTTTATTTTATTTCGGTGTTTATTATGGTGTCCATCACTGCGTGGAAGGAAGGACTTCATGTAATCTGTTTATGCAGGCATATTTTCCATATATTACCCAGTCCGAAGGAATACCCATAAGGGTGCAGGATGTAAAAGGGAAAGAGTGGATATTTCAGTTCAGATTTTGGCCCAATAACAACAGCAGGATGTATGTTCTAGAGGGCGTTACCCCCTGTATACAGAATATGCAATTACAAGCTGGTGACACAGGTATCATCCTACAGTTAGCAATTACATTCATGGCCAGAGTTGTTAATGCTATTTACTCTGAGTGTTTTTTCTTCATATGTTTTTTACATCTTATTCAGTAGAGAGAAAGTGAAAGGGGGCTTTGGCACACCAGTTAAGGTGTTGCGTTGTTGCTATGTGACAGAGATGTCATAGCTTCAAGTCTGTGGAGTGCCCTCTTGTTCAAAATTTGACAGGGGAAGGCTTGCCCCATATAAACCCTTGCGGTGGGACCCTTTCCTGGACCCTCGCCTTGCGGGGATGCCTTTGTGCACCGGGTTGCCCTTTATTCAGTAGACGGAAAGCATGAACAATTTGCTACTTACTGTGTATGTACTTCTTAAAAGACAGAAATTGTAATATCATTTTTGTAGGAAGGTAATATCATTTTCATAGTTTTAGACTTTTAGTAGTAGTATTAAAGTTTCTTATTCCGAATAGGTTTAAGGTTTAAACTTCTTATTCCTACTGGGTTTAAGTCTCATTTTCCTACCGTGCTTGGGTGCATTAATTTTCTATAAGCATTACAATATTCTCTAGAAATTAATCACTTGCAAGTTCAAAGCCATATCAGTATAACTTGTACTACCTCCGTCCCACTAACATTGGGACATGAGGAGGTGGTACGACCATTAATAAAAGTAGATTTATGTGGTTGATATTGAATTGATAAAGTAAGAATAAAGTAAGAATGATTTATAACCACACAAAATTTACCAAATTTAGTATGGGACAATCTTAGTGTGACGGACCGAAAAGGAAAGTTGGTACAATCTTAGCGGGACGGAGGGAATAGTTTATAATTTAACTGTATGAGTGGTTATTCTTGATTTCTCTACAATCTCTTATTATCTGGTCTATTGTGACGGAGATTATGTGAGTGGCATCCCTAATTAATCCAAAAGGTAGTGAATTGAGGCCACTTCCATTAGATTTCCGTTACCGTCTATTTTATGAGCCTTTTTAGTCTAGAAAAACTAGAAGTGTACCCATAGATGCCTCTAAATTCTTTACCTTCTTTGACTGAACACATAGTTTAAGAAAATGAAAGCTATATGAACAATATGGTTGAGATTTGTTTAAAAAACAGAGAAATTATATGAACCATATATCGCTTTCCTTATAAGGATGGGCTATAAATTTGGGATGGAGGGAGTAAATTATTAATTTGCTAAATACTGAAGATGGGTGGAGATTGTAGAGTATCACTGTCATTTAAGAACCAAAACTCTTTGAACATATATATTTGTTTACCTGCTGTTGTTATTATATGTTTGTTTTCCAAAGTCTACATGTTACTCTGCATTATTGCAACAGTTACTTTCAGTAGAATAGATCCTGGCAGGAAACTATTTATGGGCTTCCGGAAGGCAGTGAATTATGCTGAAACACAGGTCGGTCTTCAGATTAAACTTACAATAAGTCTCAAAATTTTAACTTTTTAGAATCCTATTAAAATGGTTTTTTTATGTATTACAAACAGGATTCTCAAAATGCAACCATTGCCAATGGTGGATGTTCTCCTGAAAGTCCAGATTTTGCTCCCACTGAAAACTGTGCTACAGTATGTCATCTTCTACCAGTCACTATTTCCTTCGTAACTCCATTTGTACCATGGGCATCTGAGTAACTGCTTCTTTTTTTGGCTTGTTTACTTCAATATTCTCCTAATTGAATAGTCATGTCAGTACTTTTGCTTATATTTCATACAATTTTATAAAATTTTAATTTAAATAATTTTAATCTTGACTCATTTTAAGCTATCCAACACTGGCTCAATATAAATATACTAACTAGCATAGCATATAGGGCCTTGTGCTACTGCCCCTATAAGGACTAACATGTAAGATTGGTTTCTCCAATGAGCCACCATCTTACATGGAATGTTATGTTACCTCATAAGAACCAACTATAAAGATACAAGCAATCATATAAGGTTGTGCCACTGATACTCCTCACAAGTAAACATTTTAAGATGAAACTTAAAAAATTTAATACCTCATTACATCGGTAAGACTCTTAAAACGGGACCAAGGGAATATCTTTTTCTTTCAAAAAAATAGTTTTCTAACAAGATGCTTCTGGATTTCAAAAACATGAAAAGAATGTAGGAAAAGAAACTGATGATTCCTTGCAAATAAATGTGATCGTTCCCGAAAAGAAAATTAAGAAAACAGGGAGCAAAAATAAGAGGCTCTTGCTAAACACTGAAGATGCTATAAAGCTGAAGATCACTTGTGAAGAAGCTCGGGATTTGCTCCGCCCACCTCCAAATGTTAATCCAACCATTGTTGTGATTGAGGACTGTGACTTTGAAGAATATGATGTAAGTCTCATATATTTTGGGCTCAACTAACTGCATATTCTTTCTTCTTGATACCCTCATATGGCACTAATTAGAAGAACAAAATATTTCTGCAATCTAGGAACCACCCATTTTTGGAAAGAGGACGGTCTTCACCACTGCATCATCTGGGTAAGGAGAGCTATGATGCAAATATATTGTAATATATGATAAATGCCATCTCTCTGGACTCGATTGAAAAGTCTAATTCGGAGTTTTGACCCCTTTTAGCCATTTTGACATCTTACTACTACCCTCTTATTTAGAGAGAGGGGGATGCTTAGAAAATTTATTTTCCTGTGTTTCCTTTTTACCTAAAAAATGCAAAGGAAAATGAAATATGATTAATGTTCTTAATAAAAAAAAATTGTATCTTTAGATTTCTTAGTCTTTATACAAAACACACCTATAGAATATTAGATTGGAAACATATATATACATTCTAATCATTGTCCTCTTGATTGCCTTCCAGTCGGAAAGTTAATGTATATAAAGAATGAATTTAACTTGCCCTCTCTTTTTGAGGGGGGGAATTTACCCTTTAATTTCAACAGAGAAGTATCTTATGTAGGGAGCAGGGACAGTGGGCCCAATGTGACAGTTGCTTCAAATGGCGTAGGCTGCCTACACACGTTCTCCTTCCAGCAAACTGGACTTGTTCTGACAATACTTGGGACTCAAACAGGTTCATACCTTCCCACCTAATATCTTTAATATAGCGAAGAGGTTGAGGCATTTTTATATGTATCTTATTGGTAATTTGTGATATGTAGTAGTATCAAATGGATGGAAGGATTGTTGTGGATATATGAGGAATCACTTTTGTCAACTAAATGAAAAAATGTAGGACCACTTCTTTCATTTTCCATTTCTCAGTGAAATGTTTTTGTCTTGGGGCTTGTTTGGATGGGGAACTTTTCGGAAGGGAGGGGATGGCAGGATTGACTTTTATATACTCCTATATGGAGTACTAATTTATCTCTATTTATTAATCTTATGCTCAAAAATAACTATGATATATGTTTAGTAGCAATAAAACTTTAGAGAATAAGAACGGAAAAGTTGTCTGCTGCTTTGACTCACTGTGTGGACATTTGCTTTCAGATCTTCTTGTTCTGCCGCAAGTGAGATGAATAAAAAACAACTTGATTCATTCCATAGAGCTTGCAACAAGGGTATGAATTACATATATATGATCTCAACTTTTCGTAATATAATGATGTTTTTGTCATTATCCCTTGTTTTTGTCTTCAATAAAAAAAATTAGTATTGCATGAGATGACTGTTTTACACGAGAAATGAAATAAAAACTTCTGAACTAAGTAAATGAAATGCCCACTCCCCCATAAGTAAAATCACCCCGATGTATGGAAGTCTACATCCAGATTTACCATGTACCCTCTTGTGTTGTATAATCTGTAGCTAGATGATAGCGAAGTTTGGCTATTTTCCCCCAATTGATCCCGTAACTTTCTTTTCCTATCTATTTATTCCCAGGAGAAACCAAGAGAGGAAGAGTCTCGGAAAGTGGCAATGATTGTGAGACTTATGCTGGCCTAGATGCGTTAGCATGTATTGCAGTGTTGGGAGATGACAGCATTGGCGGTGGTGGTGGTGACTTGGGGGCTAGCGAGCCTTCTACCACAAAGCATCCTCGGCATCGGCCTGGTTGCACTTGCATTGTTTGCATCCAACCACCCAGCGGGAAGGGCAAACATGATCCCACCTGTAAATGTATTGTTTGCTTGACCGTCAAACGCCGGTTTAAGACTCTCATGCTGCGTAAGAAGAAGAAAAAATCCGAACGTGAAGCAGATATTGTGCAAGAGAAGGATAAAACTCTTCCAGACATTGATGTTTCTATTGATGGACCCAGTTTGGTGCAACATGCGTGTTATCCAGAGAATGATGACTATCCAAACGGAGATCGTGGGAATAGCAAGGGGCAGTTGGACTTGAACTGCCATCCTAATGAGAGCCAGGCACCTGAAGGGTAGGGCAACATACAAACATATACTACGTACTACGTATGTGTTTACATATTCTTTCTATCGATTTGTGCAGGGTATGAGCATTCCTTTTGTTTTTAGTTGGGTTTCCTGGCCTTGTATATAAGTTTACATCATTCTATACTATACTCGGTATGATGCGACACACAGCCCCTATTGGTGTTAAATTTTCTAGGTAGGATTGCCTTCGTTGTATTGTACATGGGAAGTTGCTAACATGGGGTCACTTTTGTCTTCCACTACGTGTTCATTATGAGAAATCTCATATGATTTAATTTTGTAACTTGTTACGCGTTGTGTTTTTCAATTGTTTAATTGAATTTGTCATATCTAACTTATCTTTAATTTCTTTTTGCAGTTTTAACGAATATTCATTAATTTTGATATAACAACTGTTTATGGTCAAATAAGTAGTTTAAAGTTGTGAAATTAGCTTGTAAAACAACAATGTTCCCTTTAGGGAACCCTATTACTCTACAAGTTTAGGAGTTCATCTAGTTCCAGAACCACCCCATAAAGAAGCAGATTGGGCATTTTCAGTTTAAACGATTAACTGTTCTACCAAAATATTTATCATTGTTTTTTTTTTAATCATTGTTTGTATTCATCAAAGCCGGTCTGATATAGGGGCAGCCTGGGCTGCTGCCCAGGGCTCACTGTTGTTCGCACAATAATCACGCAAAATAATCACATTTTATTGTTCTCCCCGAAGTTGAAACTATTTAAGAAGACGAAAGATCCCAACTTTGAAATTTGAAAGTCGTTAACTCAGGGAGTCGGGGCTTTAGTTTTTATAACACCGAGAGATAGAAGAAGCATTCGGTTCATCTTTTGACTTGTGTTAATCCATGCTTCTTCAATCTTTATTGAGTCCTCAATGTTTTATTCAAGAAAGTTTTATTGGGATAGGAGTTTTAATCTCCTCCTTGGTAGGGTTATCATGATGTCATTGAATCACAAAGACACAAAGTGCTTGGAAATAATATATCAATAGCAACTTTTTAAATAAAACTTATCTAAGCATATACTTCGTACTAACAATAAATGCAATTATTATGTTACTACAAGTTAATGAGATAGTTCATGATAAGAAATATCTAGATGTTGATCTATACCAACACAATCTATGTCAATAGTAAAATTTCTATCGATATACGAGGTAACATGTATTCTCGATCTAAGTATAACTATAACTAATTGATAATTATTCCAACCAATTTATATTTTCACCAATAGTTTTGCTATTGTTAGAGCTCTTTAATTACATAAAAATTGACTGAGTAGTGCTGGACTCGGGCCGGGCGGCCCGGCCCGGAACCGGCCCGGCCCGGTTACTGTTAGGCCCGGCCCGGCCCGGGGCCCGGTGGGTCCACCGGTTCGGTTCGGCCCGGCCCGGCTGCTGGGCGGTTCGGGCCCGGGCCCAGGTTTTGGTGAACCGGCCCGGCCGGTTCGGGCCCGGTCCGGGCCGGATTTTAATTTTTTTTTTTTTTTTTTTGAAATTTTTTTAAGTTTTAGGTTGGATTAGGTATTTTGGGCCATTTGAGGTGGTTTGGGATGGTTTGGGGTTGAGGGGGAGGGGTAGGGGATTAAATAGGAGACCAAAAAAAAAAAAAAAAATTAAGTGGGCCGGTTCGGCCCGGCCCGGCCCGGCCCGGTTTGGCCCGGAACCGGAACCGGAACCGCCCACCGGCGGTTCGGGCCCGGGCCCTAGTTTTCTGGCCCGAGGCCCGGCCGGGCCCAGGCCCGAACCGGGCCCGAACCGGCCCGAGTCCAGCCATATGACTGAGTCGTCTGCACTTGCTAAAATTTGTGAAATTTTGACTCAAAGAGCTAAATTTGTTCAAATTTAATTATGGTTGAAATAGTTGAATCGACTAAATTTGCTAAATTCTGTAAAAGTGAAAAACTATATTCAAAATATATTTTATTAATAAAATAAAGTAACTTGGTCAATATAGTGATGAAAGTAATTTGAACCTTACTTATTTTGATTATAGTGTAATGTAATTCAGTGTGTGAAATAAAAAGTTAAATGATTTTTAAAAAGTTAGAGGATAAAGATAATAAGGTGAAAAAAATTTACTCTAGTTATGATGGAATTATCTACGCACTTACCATATACTCCGTATGAAAATCATAATATAAATGAAAGCATTTAAAACTTAAATATTACTCATATGTGTAGGACTAAAATATAGAGAGAGTCCATTAGGACTATCATTATTTTCTTCTTGGAATAGGACTAAAACTTCGAGTCCGTTTGATAATTCATATTTCAGTTTATCAGCTTCATTGATCCATTTTTTATTAAACACCCCCAATTTCATTTTCGCGTACAAAATTGTTTAAGAATCAAAATAAGTAAGATTGAGACTATTTTGCGTGTTGAAGTTATTATAGAGGATTCATTTAGCTATTTGTTATAATTCAGCTAATTCAACCACTTTAACTAACATTTTATCGATTTCAACAGATTCAACCAATTCACTTAATTTCAATGTTATCCTAGAGAAACTGAGAAAGTGCATAAGTAAGATCATCATTATTTGCTTTCTAAAATTAAAGAGGATTCACTCACTACTAATTAAGGAAGTTTTATAGTTATGATAAGATCAAGTATTATTTTGGAGTAAAATACAAGTAGTCCTGTTTGTTTGTTTTATCTATATTATTAAGAGCTCATTTGGTAATACCAAAATCGGCTGTATTGGCCAATTCTGCTAAAATTTATTTAGTTCTGGCTGAAGTGGCTGGATTGAATCACTCTACTCATTTATGAAAAATTATATTTAAAATATATTTTGTTAATAAAATAAACAAAAAATTATATGAAAAATAGCTAAAATGATGTTCTACAATAACTTCAATCAATATAGCAAAAAAAGTAACTTTAACATTAGTTTTTCTTGTTATTACATAATTCAGCACGTGAAATCAAAAGTTACGTATTTGGTATATAAAAAAAATTACCTGATAGGTATGAAACTGAAAAACATGATCACCAAACAAACTTTAAATCTAATTGGAGCAATTTTTTATATATGTTTAAGAAACCGGATTGGGAAGTGACCCGGCCGCGTGAACGGGTCACGGGTCAACCCGCTCAACGCTATAAAATCGGTCAACAATTTAACAATAAGAAACATATAATTGTCTACAAAAATAAAATTTGAGGCAGTAATTATTTTAAAATAATCAACTAATAATAATGCATTTGTTAAAATTTGTGAAATTTTGACTCAAAGAGCTAAATTTGTTCAAATTTTTGAAATTATGGTTGAAATAGTTGAATCGACTAAATTTGCTAAATTATGAAAAAGTGAAAAACTATATTTAAAATATATTTTATTAATAAAATAAAGTAACTTGGTCAATATAGTGATGAAAGTAATTTGAACCTTACTTATTTTGATTATAGTGTAATTCAGTGTGTGAAATAAAAAGTTAAATGATTTTTAAAAAGTTAGAGGATAAAGATAATAAGGTGAAAAAAAATTACTCTAGTTATGATGGAATTATCTACGTACTTATCATATACTCCGTATGAAAATCATAATATAAATTAAAGCATTTAAAACTTAAATATTACTCATATGTGTAGGACTAAAATATAGAGAGAGTCCAGTAGGACGATCATTATTTTCTTCTTAGAATAGGACTAAAACTTTGAGTCCGTTTGATAATTCATATTTCAGTTTATCAGCTTCATTGATCCATTTTTTATTAAACACCCCCAATTTCATCTTCGCGTACAAAATTGTGTAAGAATCAAAATAAGTAAGATTGAGATTGTTTTGCGTGCTGAAGTTATTATAGAGGATTCATTTAGCTATTTTTTATAATTCAGCTAATTCAACCTGATAGAGTATATAGACTCAGACCCCCGGGTCTCACGACTATTGGACTCGGACAGCGGCCCACATACGCTCAGTAGATAGCATTTATCTCATTGTACACTTTATTTATTCAGATGTATCCATTAGAATAGATTAGATATCATTTATTAGCCCTTTATTAGCCTTTTATTGTAACTGGGCCAGCCAGGCCCAAACCTGGAAGCCCAGCCCTCTTTTCTCCTATAAATACTCCCTATGGGAGCCATGTAGGGGGGATGGTTGAATGGTTGATTGGAATTCATTATACATATCACTTTATCTCTCTAGCTCTCCCTTCTCTCTAGATTAAATAATCTATCACAACCACTTTAACTAACATTTTATCGATTTCAACAGATTCAACCAATTCACTCAATTTCAATATTATCCTAGAGAAATTGAGAAAGAGCATAAGTAGGATCATCATTATTTTCTTTCTAAAATTAAAGAGGATTCACTCACTACTAATTAAGGAAGTTTTATAGTTTTGATAAGATCAAGTATTATTTTGGAGTAAAATATAAGTAGTCCTGTTTATTTGTTTTATCTATATTATTAAGAGCCCATTTGGTAATACCAAAATCGGCTGTATTGGCCGATTCTGCTAAAATTTATTTAGTTCTGGCTGAAGTGGCTGGATTGAATCACTCTGCTCATTTTTGAAAAAATTATATTTAAAATATATTTTATTAATAAAATAAACCAAAAATTATATGAAAATAGCTAAAATGACGTTCTACAATAACTTCAATCAATACAGCAAAAAAAGTAACTTTAACCTTAGTTTTTCTTGTTATTACATAATTCAGCACGTGAAATCAAAAGTTACGTATTTGGTAAAAAAAAAATAGGTAAAAAAAATTAGCTGATAGGTATGAAACTGAAAAACATGATCACCAAACAAACTTTAAATCTAATTGGAGCAATTTTTTATATATGTTTAAGAAACCGGATTGGGAAGTGACCCGGCCGCGTGAATGGGTCACGGGTCAACCCGCTCAACGCTATAAAATCGGTCAACAATTTAACAATAAGAAACATATAATTGTCTACAAAAATAAAATTAGAGGTAGTTATTTCACAATAATCAACTAATAATAATACTTACACAACACTTAAAAGTTAAAAAAGCCTATTCCAAAATACCATTTTGATCTAATTAGAATATATAGTGATGCTCCATATTTATTATTTTTATTGGACATTTATTGTAGTCTATAATTTGACACATTTTTATTCTTAAACAAATAAGTAGTATATAAATATATTGCATAGTTTTTTCTTTTTAGGGTATTGAAATTGTAATTTTATTGGTTATAAACGCTTTAAAATTTTTAAAAAATGGAAAAACCGAAAAACCGCCTA